CCGGATGCAGTTGACGGTGCAGCAATTGTACCTGTTGGTGAACAAACACACACTGTTGAGGTTATTTTTTTTCTCTTTCTTTCGCTATCTTTGGCATGATAGGTCTAGCATGGAAACCTGGTAGACATGAAAATTTTCAGTTAATTGTTTCATGTATATCGGTTAATTTCTGATTGGGCCATTCTTTTCATGTTCCACCTTTTCTTATTTATCACTCTTTGCTCTGATGCCAAGCCGGGTAAGAATATTTCAACAATCTTCCAAGGGCTATATAATTGTTCATACTGTACAATGTAGACCCCTCCCCTCCCCTCCCATCTATCATCTGGGATTTGCAACAAGATTATACTCTTTCCAATGGTATGCATTTTACATCAGCTTCGTGTCAGCTCCAAACCAGAGGTGGATTCTTCTGGTATTCTATGTTCCAAGGAGTTCCATGATTCCTTCTGCATGGTTATCTATTTATTGTCATTCATGGTGGAATGTCATATTAAACGTTGTTTATGTCTATGTCCAAATTTGACATCAATAAAGGACCTCTAGTCATTGTTCTGCTTTCAGTTATACAAAGAACTGAGGCTCTTATCTTTTCTTTTTTGTTTTAATTCTCCTAAATAGCCAATTGGAAATATTGCCGAGAGATTTCATGCTTTATGCTTTAAAGACAGCGGTGTCTTGTACGAGGATCCTTATATTCAGGTTTGATGTTTCCTACTTTTCTCACACCTCTTTACTTTTCTTAGCTCTGTTTGACTGATGGCACACTAGCAAGCATCACTTTCTTGGGTTTCTTTGACCCTTAACACTCACAATGTACACAAACCGTTGTATAATGATTGCGGTCATTGAACATTTGAATGTATCTTGTTTTTTATGATTGTTGGTATTGCCTTAGATTGGTGTTAAAGCTGAATGGCGAGGACACCATGGACGACTTGTTCTCTTCTTGGGAAACAAAAATACTTCTCCCCTAACATCAGTCCAAGCCCAAATACTGCCCCCCATTCATTTAAAAATGGAACTGTCATTGGTACCTGTGACCATACCTCCTCGAGCACAGGTACTCTAGTTCCGACCTTAATCACTTTCATTATTACTAAAGTGATAATTTGTGAGATAATTTCTCTCTTTTTTTTCTCTGAGTTTATTCCTTTATTAAGTATTCCATCTTTTGACGTTCGTAGGTACAATGTCCACTCGAATTGATGAACATCCGTCCTAGCAGGGATGTTGCAGTTTTGGATTTCTCCTACAAGTTTGGTACAAACATGGTAGTTGTTATTTCCCTTCAGATATTGCTTGTTTTCATGAAGACTTCTTCATTATCGATAATTTAGCTCGTCTTGGTGAATGACTTCTTTAGTAGCAATAACTTAACTCGTCTTTAGTGAATGATGACTTCTTCAGTATCTATAGCTTTACCTGTCTTGGTTGCCCTTTCATAGGTCAATGTCAAACTACGGCTCCCGGCTGTCTTGAATAAGTTTCTTCAACCTATTCAATTGACAGCTGAAGAGTTTTTCCCTCAGTGGAGATCACTCTCTGGACCACCATTGAAGCTTCAGGAAGTTGTATGTATATCCTCAACTCAACATATCCAATGCTGTAGCAAATGAAAGTATAGATTGTACTTCAGGGGAAGAGCCTTTTTTTCCTGACAGCTTTTCGCACTAGGAAAATAGTGGAACATCTTTTTCGGTTAAATATTTTATAAATGTTCACTTGAGCTTGATCTTATGAGTTTGAATTATTCATCTGCCAGAATTCTGGCACTGCAAAGTGAATGTGAAAAATCATTCTTTATAGTGCATTGTATTTTCTTGTCGATTTCACTAGTAACAAAAATAGTCTGCAATATCCCGCAGATTAGAGGTGTAAGACCACTTCCGCTTCCAGAAATGGTGAATCTGTTCAACAGTTTCCGGGTGACGATATGCCCAGGGCTTGTGAGTATATTACATGAGTTTCCTCCCTCATTCTTCTTCCTTGCATCCATATGTATGCTTCATCTCTGTGGTATTTCTGTTGTAGGATCCAAACCCTAATAATCTTGTGGCGAGCACAACCTTCTATTCCGAAAGCACAAGAGCGATGCTCTGTTTGGTAAGAACCTTTATGCCCATTTCGAGATCTCAAGCTAGTTTTCTCATTAATGGTTCTTCTGGTAATTTCTACTGTTGCAATCATGAATTTTTGCAAATGCAATGAACATTACGGAAGAGATTAATCCAGTTTCCGAAATCATTCACTGAATTACAGAAAAGTTTGATATTAGATTTAGAACCCTATGTCGTGACATTTTCTTGTTTTATGATTTTCCAGGTAAGAATCGAAACAGACCCAGCGGACAGGACCCAACTCCGGATGACAGTAGCTTCGGGAGATCCAACACTTACATTTGAGTAAGATCTCTCCCTTCCTACCGAATGTGCTCGACCTCTAACACAATCTCTCGCATTTTTCGCTGACCTCAAATGTCTACAGGTTGAAAGAATACATAAAGGAACAACTAATCGCCATTCCCACAGGCTCTCGAGCCCCAGCCCCAGGACCAGGTCCAGTAGCATCAGAAACTCAACCGGCTAGTCCAGCAGTGACGGCAAATGATCCTGGGGCTCTACTCGCTGGCTTGCTCTGATGCCAAGCCGGGTAAGAATATTTCAACAATCTTCCAAGGGCTATATAATTGTTCATACTGTACAATGTAGACCCCTCCCCTCCCCTCCCATCTATCATCTGGGATTTGCAACAAGATTATATGGCCAAATACAGAGAGAGAGAGGGGGGGGGGGGTGATTCGTTGTGTCTGTCTTCGAGTGAAATTTTCTAAAGGGTGAGTTGGGCCTGAGAATTTTTTGCATTCTTTTCTGCAAGATTTGTATTATGAGGTCTGGGGGTTGTGTGGCGTTTCTCGTCTCTCTGATTTACTTTCTGTCTTGTCTCCATGATTTGTCTGAGGGGATGAGAGTCTCCTGTTCCATCATTTCATACATATATATATATACACAGAGAGCGCATGTAAGGGATTTAATATTTTCTGCGAGTAGAATCAGTCTGTAAAAACTTTGAAGTTGGAAGTCTGTATTTATGGAGAGGTTTATCAGTGTCTATGATCCTTAGTTTGTTGGCATACATACATACATACATACATACATACATACATACATACATACATACATGTGTGTGTTTGTGTGTGTCCGTTGGAGAATTTGCATGAGACGTGACTTTCTGAAACTTTTCCTTCTCATCTCATTGGATTATTTCACAATAGTTGTATTGTATGTTCCATTAATTTATTATAAACAATTTGACGCAGCAAAGTCACTCGTATCGAATGTGGGAAATGCGAAGAAGTTTTAGGGTTTTTTTTTTTTAATTTGTCGTAAATGTGATCAAAGAGAAAATCTTCCAAAAATATAGAAATAAAAATAACAGAGTATATTTTATTTCGAAAGTTTTTTTACCAACGAAATTATGAGTTTTAATCACAATTATCGGTTTTAATTTTTTTTCTCGTGAGAGTAAGAGATTTTTTTCGTATCAATGTTTTTATTATAGGGTAATTTAAATCCTATACTCTAGAAAACCCATACAATTAGATTTTCTCAAAAAAAAAATTATACTTTGCATGACAATTTAAATGCTATACTTATTTTTTATCCTAAAAAATCATGTACAATTAGACTCTCTCCAAAAAATTCTCGTATTTTGCATATTTGGATTAAAATAACACCATCATAAAAATCGACAAAGGACCATACATAAATCATATATCGCAAAAACTAATCCTACATATAATAAAAACGATCGTCATCGATACGTTGGATAATTATTTCAATCTATTTAATCCAAACTGATTTAGGTTAAATTAATTAAACCACAAATTTAGTACCAAAATATCTACTTCTAACAATGAAAATTGTTCCACAATAACCTTATTTATGGTCGTTATGTCTCAAATCGAATGAGATAGTAAGAATGTGTAATCATAGTGAAATAACTAATAACGAGTCAATTAAATCTAAAGGTATACCATATCAATCTGAATGCATCACGTAGGATTTACGTATCTAGATCATTTTTTAATACATGTAAGATTATTTTGTCACATATGATTTATGTATGTCCATTTGTCCAAAAAAATTGACGGTGTTATTTTTGACCAAATATGTTTTACGTACGAAATTTTTTTGGAGAGAATATAATTGTATAGGTTTTTTTAAGATAAAAAATAAGTAAAGGGTTTAAATTGACATAATATATAAAGTATAGAAATTTTTTGGAGAGAATTTAATTCTACCGGATTTTTTAGAATAAAAAATAAATATAGAATTTATTGATACAAAATAAAAATACAATATTTTTTGACCATTTACCCTTTATTATATTACGAATATGAGATTACAATTGTTATATATATAGCGGGAAATATGAGATTACCACTGCTGAAGCACGCGCGACAATTTTTAGAAATGCTAATAATAATAGATTTTGAGGCGATTGTGGAAGCGCACCCGCAGCAAGAGCGCGTGAACGACACGGACAGAAAACTGCCGGACTGTAGTCCATGGAATTCGACTAATTTTCGGAAAATGCGGCTTTTAGGCGCGTGGCGAATCGAACCCGTCGATGTCTTAGATGGATGATGCTATAGCTATTCATCCATTTCGAAAATTCCTACAATTCAGAAAAATTATTTGTAAAAAATAAAAAAGAAGAAAAAAAGTACAAGTAGAGATGTCTGGAAAAGAAAGCTTGAGATTAAATTGCATAAAAATGTATTTGTAAATAAAATTGTTTATGTAGTTTTAGAAAACTATCAATAGATTTAATTCACCCACGTTTTACATTTATTTATTCAAAGATTCCATAGGTTCATGTCAGTTTAGATTTTTTTTTTTCTCTACATATATGCTTTTTATATGGTTTTTTCACCATTTGTACTGATATATATCACACAACATGTGCACGTGTTTCCACCAAAAAAAAAGACATGTGCACGTGTGCGTACACGGAGGAAATCCAATAAATAATTGTTTACGTACAACAAAAGTTGTGCGTATATAATTGGTCAATGATAGTAACCATTAACCCCTAATATTAAAAAAAAAAGAAACTTAAATGGAACTAGCAATAGCAAGAAAGCAAATCAAGAAGCCGAGGTAACAAAGATCATCGTATTCGTTCATCATCAGCATAAGGCGGCGGGCTATGAAACGGAAACGCGAACAGTGCGCCGCATGCAAATATCAACACCGCCGGTGCACCAGCGACTGTATCCTGCCGCCATATTTTCCGGAGGATGAGCCCGAAACCTTCAAAATGGCTCGCAATCTTTTCGGAGTGTCCAATATCAAGAAGATGATAAGGGACGTCGCTCCTCACCTACGCGAAGACGCCGTCAGATCCATCAAGTACGAGGCCCTTTTCCGCTCCATGTTCCCCGTCCATGGCTGCTGCCTCGTCATCAATGAACTCAGGTATACGTATGGATATATATATATATATATATATCATCGTATGGTGTATGATTTAACCTAGCTAGATTGCCTAACTGAAAAGTATATTCTTTATCAGTTACCAGATTATCGAGGCCACCAAGCAGCTTAGCCTAATCCAGGCCCAAGTCGAAGCTCGATTCCAGGGCGAACCCTCCGACGACGGACGACCTTTTCCCTGATTACCTTAATGGAAGATCCGAAGACCGGACTTGAAAAGAATACACACACACACGTGTGCGTGTGTCGATCGGTACGAGTTATTAGGTTCTCGAGTTTTATCGAGTTCTTGAACCATTTCTTGATTTTCTCCATCGGTCTTTACTTTAGGAATGTGTAGCTTCTTATCGGTGTCTCTGTCTGTTCGATCCGTGATCACCCCGACTTATGAATCCTACGTAATCTCATAGAGAGTAGTAAGAGTGCCCAAGTTCGGGTGGCAAAACGGTAAGGTCGAGTTCAAACCCCCCCCAGGTCGTCCCTTACCTAAAAAATAAAGGTGAGACTCGTAATTTTTATTTTTTAGATAATGCGAAAGGTCACCGTAACCCAATTACAGTTCCCAAAGTATCGGAAAACACATATGAATACCTCTCCACGACTGGAGACTCGAACTTTAGTTGTTCCATCCCTTAAACAAAGAGTTTTGTACAAAAATATGCTACATGCCAAATCGGGAGTCCTGAATAGTTATTATTAGGTTTAAGTAAACATATAGCGACGATCTTAAGTCATGAGTGTTGCTTGCATTTACTTATTTTGTGTTTCCTCAGTTACTGTATACTTTAATTTGTGTTTTGCCTTGTCGGTGATAACTTTAGTTGCAGGAAACCTGGAGAGATAACTTGACTTGCAAGCAACTTTACATCAATAACCAACACCAGACGAAGCTTACTAGCAATATACAAACAGACGTATATATGTAAATCACTTCACTGCAGCTCTTCTAATACTAAAACACGATTCGAGTGTTATGACATTAACGAGACATAATCTCCATCCACCTACACGTGCAGAGAGAGAGGGAGAGAGAGAGAGAGAGAGAGAGAGAGAGAGAGAGAGAGAGAGAGAGAGAGAGAGAACATACAAAGAGCTTATCTGCCAGAAACAGGGCATCTTCGCAGAGACCATATGAACCCTACGGAGAGGTAAATTCTGACAACCTCAAAACACATTCACCAATTCATCAAAAACCCTCGGGACAAAGGAAGAGCCGTCGTCCCTGGCAGCTTCTGGTCTGAA